GGTGAGTGAGTGGGTGGGTGAGTGGGTGGGTGAGTGAGTGAGTGGGTGGGTGAGTGGGTGAGTGAGTGAGTGAGTGGGTGGGTGGGTGAGTGAGTGGTTGGGTGGGTGGGTGGGTGAGTGGGTGGGTGGGTGAGTGGGTGGGTGAGTGGGTGGGTGAGTGAGTGAGTGAGTGGGTGGGTGGGTGAGTGGGTGGGTGGGTGAGTGGGTGGGTGGGTGGGTGAGTGGGTGGGTGAGTGGGTGAGTGAGTGACTGGGTGAGTGAGTGAGTGGGTGGGTGGGTGAGTGGTTGGGTGAGTGAGTGGGTGGGTGGGTGGGTGAGTGAGTGAGTGAGTGGGTGGGTGGGTGAGTGAGTGGTGAGTGAGTGGGTGGGTGAGTGAGTGAGTGGGTGGGTGGGTGGGTGAGTGGGTGGGTGGGTGGGTGAGTGGGTGGGTGGGTGGGTGAGTGGGTGGGTGGGTGAGTGGGTGAGTGAGTGACTGGGTGAGTGAGTGAGTGGGTGGGTGGGTGAGTGGTTGGGTGAGTGAGTGGGTGGGTGGGTGAGTGGATGAGTGAGTAAGTGGGTGGGTGGGTGGGTGAGTGAGTGGGTGGGTGGGTGAGTGGGTGAGTGAGTGAGTGAGTGGGTGAGTGGGTAAGTGAGTGAGTGGGTGAGTGAGTGAGTTGGTGGGTGAGTGGGTGGGTGAGTGGATGAGTGAGTAAGTGGGTGGGTGGGTGAGTGAGTGGGTGGGTGGGTGGGTGAGTGGGTGAGTGGGTGGGTGAGTGAGTGGGTGGGTGGGTGAGTGGGTGGGTAAGTGGGTGGGTGGGTGAGTGGGTGGGTGAGTGGGTGGGTGGGTGAGTGGGTGAGTGAGTGGGTGGGTGAGTGAGTGGGTGGGTGGGTGAGTGAGTGGGTGGGTGAGTGGGTGGGTGAGTGAGTGAGTGAGTGGGTGGGTGAGTGGGTGAGTGAGTGAGTGGGTGGGTGGGTGAGTGAGTGTGAGTGGGTGGGTGGGTGAGTGAGTGGGTGGGTGAGTGGGTTGGTGGGTGAGTGGGTTGGTGGGTGAGTGGGTGAGTGTATGAGTGAGTGGGTGACTGAGTGACTGAGTGAGTGTATGAGTAAGTGTGTGAGTGAGTGAGTGAGTGTAAGAGTGACTGAGTGAGTGAGTGTATGAGTGAGTGTATGAGTGAGTGACTGAGTGACTGAGTGAGTGAGTAGGTGAGTGACTGAGTGAGTGAGTGAGTGGTGACTGAGTGAGTGAGTAGGTGAGTGAGTGAGTGGTGAGTGAGTGAGTGTATGAGTGAGTGCATGAGCGAGTAGGTGAGTGAGTGAGTGAGTAGGTGAGTGAGTGGTGAGTGAGTGGTGAGTGAGTGAGTGGTGAGTAGGTGAGTGAGTGAGTGACTGAGTGAGTGAGTGGTGAGTGACTGAGTGAGTGGTGAGTGAGTGTATGAGTGAGTGAGTGAGTGGGTGAGTGAGTGAGTGTATGAGTGAGTAGTGAGCGAGTGAGTGTATGAGTGAGTGTATGAGTGAGTGAGTGACTGAGTGAGTGAGTGAGTGACTGAGTGAGTGAGTGTATGAGTGAGTGACTGAGTGAGTGAGAGTATGAGTGAGTGGTGAGTGAGTGGTGAGTGAGTGGTGAGTGAGTGTATGAGTGAGTGAGTGTATGAGTGACTGAGTGAGTGAGTGTATGAGTGAGTGAGTGTGTGGTGAGTGAGTGGTCAGTGAGTGAGTGGGTGTATGAGTAAGTGAGTGACTGAGTGAGTGAGTGACTGACTGAGTGAGTGACTGAGTGACTGAGTGAGTGAGTGTATGAGTGAGTGAGTGGGTGAGTGTATGAGTGAGTGTATGAGTGAGTGTATGAGTGAGTGGTGACTGAGTGAGTGAGTGACTGAGTGAGTGACTGAGTGTATGAGTGAGTGGTGAGTGAGTGGTAAGTGAGTGGTGAGTGAGTGAGTGGGTGAGTGAGTGGGTGGGTGGGTGAGTGGGTGGGTGAGTGAGTGAGTGAGTGGGTGAGTGAGTGGGTGGGTGGGTGAGTGGGTGAGTGGGTGGGTGGGTGAGTGAGTGGGTGGGTGGGTGAGTGGGTGGGTAAGTGGGTGGGTGGGTGAGTGGGTGGGTGAGTGAGTGGGTGGGTGGGTGAGTGGGTGAGTGAGTGGGTGGGTGAGTGAGTGGGTGGGTGGGTGAGTGAGTGGATGGGTGAGTGGGTGGGTGAGTGAGTGAGTGAGTGGGTGGGTGAGTGGGTGAGTGAGTGGGTGAGTGAGTGAGTGGGTGGGTGAGTGAGTGAGTGAGTGGGTGGGTGAGTGAGTGAGTGGGTGAGTGGGTTGGTGGGTGAGTGGGTGAGTGGGTGGGTGGGTGAGTGGGTGGGTGGTTGAGTGAGTGGGTGGGTGGGTGGGTGAGTGAGTGGGTGGGTGGGTGGGTGAGTGGGTGGGTGGTTGAGTGGGTGGGTGAGTGGGTGGGTGGGTGAGTGGGTGGGTGGGTGGGTGAGTGGGTGAGTGGGTGAGTGAGTGAGTGGGTGAGTGAGTGAGTGAGTGGGTGAGTGAGTGAGTGGGTGAGTGAGTGAGTGGGTGGGTGAGTGGGTGAGTGGGTGGGTGGGTGAGTGGGTGAGTGGGTGGGTGGGTGAGTGGGTGGGTGGGTGAGTGGGTTGGTGGGTGAGTGGGTGAGTGGGTGGGTGGGTGAGTGGGTGGGTGGTTGAGTGAGTGGGTGGGTGGGTGGGTGAGTGAGTGGGTGGGTGGGTGGGTGGGTGAGTGGGTGGGTGGGTGAGTGGGTGGGTGAGTGGGTGGGTGGGTGAGTGGGTGGGTGGGTGGGTGAGTGGGTGAGTGGGTGAGTGAGTGAGTGGGTGAGTGAGTGAGTGAGTGGGTGGGTGAGTGGGTGGGTGAGTGAGTGGGTGGGTGAGTGAGTGAGTGAGTGGGTGAGTGAGTGGGTGAGTGGGTGGTTGGGTGGGTGGGTGAGTGGGTGGGTGGGTGGGTGAGTGGGTGGGTGGGTGAGTGGGTGGGTGGGTGGGTGAGTGGGTGAGTGAGTGGGTGAGTGAGTGTGTGAGTGACTGAGTGAGTGCGTGAATGAGTGAGTGTATGAGTGAGTGAGTGACTGAGTGAGTGAATAGGTGAGTGAGTGAGTGTATGAGTGACTGAGTGAGTGAGTGCGTGTATGAGTGAGTGAGTGTATGAGTGAGTGAGTGTATGAGTGAGTGACTGAGTGAGTGAGTGTATGAGTGAGTGACTGAGTGAGTAGGTGAGTGAGTGGTGAGTGAGTGGTGAGTGAGTGGTGAGTGAGTGCATGAGTGAGTGAGTGTATGAGTGACTGAGTGAGTGAGTGTATGAGTGAGTGAGTGTATGAGCGAGTGAGTGAGTGTATGAGTGAGTGAGTGGTGAGTGAGTGGTGAGTGAGTGAGTGGGTGTATGAGTGAGTGAGTGAGTGACTGAGTGAGTGAGTGACTGAGTGACTGAGTGAGTGAGTGTATGAGTAAGTGTGTGAGTGAGTGAGTGAGTGTAAGAGTGACTGAGTGAGTGAGTGTATGAGTGAGTGTATGAGTGAGTGTATGAGTGAGTGTATGAGTGAGTGACTGAGTGACTGAGTGAGTGAGTAGGTGAGTGACTGAGTGAGTGAGTGAGTGGTGACTGAGTGAGTGAGTAGGTGAGTGAGTAGGTGAGTGAGTGAGTGAGTGGTGAGTGAGTGAGTGTATGAGTGAGTGTATGAGCGAGTAGGTGAGTGAGTAGGTGAGTGAGTGGTGAGTGAGTGGTGAGTGAGTGAGTGAGTGGTGAGTAGGTGAGTGAGTGACTGAGTGAGTGAGTGGTGAGTGACTGAGTGAGTGGTGAGTGAGTGTATGAGTGAGTAGTGAGTGTATGAGTGAGTGTATGAGTGAGTGAGTGACTGAGTGAGTGAGTGAGTGACTGAGTGAGTGAGTAGGTGAGTGAGTGAGTGTATGAGTGAGTGACTGACTGAGTGAGTAGGTGACTGACTGAGTGACTGACTGAGTGAGTAGGTGAGTGAGTAGGTGAGTAGGTGGTGACTGAGTGACTGACTGAGTGAGTAGGTGAGTGAGTAGGTGAGTGAGTAAGTGAGTGAGTAGGTGACTGACTGACTGAGTGACTGAGTGAGTAGGTGACTGACTGAGTGACTGAGTGGTGAGTGAGTAGGTGAGCGAGTGGTGAGCGAGTGGGTGGGTGAGTGAGTGGGTGGGTGAGTGAGTGGGTGGGTGGGTGAGTGGGTGGGTGGGTGAGTGGGTTGGTGAGTGGGTGAGTGGGTGGGTGAGTGGGTGGGTGGGTGGGTGAGTGGGTGGGTGGGTGGGTGAGTGGGTTGGTGAGTGAGTGGGTGGGTGGGTGAGTGGGTTGGTGAGTGAGTGGGTGGGTGGGTGAGTGGGTTGGTGAGTGAGTGGGTGGGTGGGTGAGTGGGTTGGTGAGTGAGTGGGTTGGTGAGTGAGTGGGTGGGTGGGTGAGTGGGTGGGTGGGTGAGTGGGTTGGTGAGTGAGTGGGTGGGTGGGTGAGTGGGTTGGTGAGTGAGTGGGTGGGTGGGTGAGTGGGTTGGTGAGTGAGTGGGTTGGTGAGTGAGTGGGTGGGTGGGTGAGTGGGTGGGTGGGTGAGTGGGTTGGTGAGTGAGTGACTGACTGAGTGAGTGACTGAGTGAGTAGGTGAGTGAGTAGGTGAGTGACTGAGTGACTGAGTGAGTAGGTGAGTGAGTGGGTGAGTGGGTGAGTGGGTGAGTGAGTAGGTGAGTGAGTAGGTGACTGAGTGACTGAGTGACTGACTGAGTGAGTAGGTGAGTGAGTAGGTGAGTAGGTGGTGACTGAGTGACTTACTGAGTGAGTAGGTGAGTGAGTAGGTGAGTGAGTACGTGACTGAGTGAGTGAGTAGGTGACTGACTGAGTGACTGAGTGAGTAGGTGAGTGAGTAGGTGAGCGAGTGGTGAGTGAGTGGGTGAGTGAGTGACTGAGTGACTGACTGAGTGACTGAGTGACTGAGTAGGTGAGTGAGTGGTGAGCGAGTGGTGAGCGAGTGGTGAGCGAGTGGTGAGTGAGTGATTGGTGAGTGAGTGGTGAGTGCCACCTTCTCCGCGATGGAGTAAAGGACCTCATCCATCTTCATGCAGGTGGGGTCCCAGTCGTGGCCAAAGCGAATGACAAGGACACGGTCCTCCTCCGACAGGATGGCCTGGTCCACTTGCCAGCCATTGTGCAGGTGAGGGAGCATGTAGGACATCCTGCAGACACACGCACACAGGCGTGTGTGTACAGGTGTGTGTGTGTACAGGTGTGTGTGTGTGTGTACAGGTGTGTGTGTACAGGTGTGTGTACAGGTGTGTGTGTGTACAGGTGTGTGTACAGGTGTGTGTGTGTGTGTACAGGTGAGTGTGTGTGTGTACAGGTGTGTGTGTACAGGTGTGTGTGTGTGTACAGGTGTGTGTGTACAGGTGTGTGTGTGTGTGTGTACAGGTGAGTGTGTGTGTGTGTACAGGTGTGTGTGTGTGTACAGGTGTGTGTACAGGTGTGTGTGTACAGGTGTGTGTGTGTGTGTGTACAGGTGTGTGTGTACAGGTGTGTGTGTACAGGTGAGTGTGTGTACAGGTGTGTGTGTACAGGTGTGTGTGTGTGTGTGTACAGGTGTGTGTGTACAGGTGTGTGTGTGTGTGTGTGTACAGGTGTGTGTGTGTACAGGTGTGTGTGTGTACAGGTGTGTGTGTGTGTGTGTACAGGTGTGTGTGTGTGTGTGTACAGGTGTGTGTGTGTACAGGTGTGTGTACAGGTGTGTGTGTGTACAGGTGAGTGTGTACAGGTGTGTGTGTGTGTGTGTACAGGGGTGTGTGTGTGTACAGGTGTGTGTGTGTGTGTACAGGTGTGTGTGTGTGTGTACAGGTGTGAGTGTACAGGTGTGTGTGTGTGTACAGGTGTGTGTGTGTGTGTGTACAGGTGTGTGTGTACAGGTGTGTGTGTACAGGTGTGTGTGTGTACAGGTGTGTGTGTGTGTGTGTACAGGTGTGTGTGTACAGGTGTGTGTGTACAGGTGTGTGTGTACAGGTGTGTGTGTGTGTGTGTACAGGTGTGTGTGTACAGGTGTGTGTGTACAGGTGTGTGTGTGTGTGTACAGGTGTGTGTGTACAGGTGTGTGTGTGTGTGTGTACAGGTGTGTGTGTGTACAGGTGTGTGTGTGTGTGTACAGGTGTGTGTGTACAGGTGTGTACAGGTGTGTGTGTACAGGTGTGTGTGTGTGTACAGGTGTGTGTGTACAGGTGTGTGTGTGTGTGTACAGGTGTGTGTGTGTGTGTACAGGTGAGTGTGTGTACAGGTGTGTGTGTACAGGTGTGTGTGTGTGTGTACAGGTGAGTGTGTGTACAGGTGTGTGTGTACAGGTGTGTGTGTGTGTGTACAGGTGTGTGTACAGGTGTGTGTACAGGTGTGTGTGTACAGGTGTGTGTGTGTGTACAGGTGTGTGTACAGGTGTGTGTACAGGTGTGTGTGTGTGTGTGTACAGGTGTGTGTGTACAGGTGTGTGTGTACAGGTGTGTGTGTGTGTACAGGTGTGTGTGTGTGTACAGGTGTGTGTGTGTGTGTGTACAGGTGTGTGTGTACAGGTGTGTGTGTGTGTACAGGTGTGTGTACAGGTGTGTGTGTACAGGTGTGTGTGTGTGTGTACAGGTGTGTGTGTACAGGTGTGTGTGTACAGGTGTGTACAGGTGTGTGTGTACAGGTGTGTGTACAGGTGTGTGTGTGTGTACAGGTGTGTGTGTGTGTGTACAGGTGAGTGTGTGTACAGGTGTGTGTACAGGTGTGTGTGTGTGTACAGGTGTGTGGTGTGTGTGTACAGGTGTGTGTGTGTGTGTGCAGGTGTGTGTGTGTGTGTGCAGGTGTGTGTGTGTGTGTACAGGTGTGTGTGTGTGTGTGTGTACAGGTGTGTGTGTGTGTACAGGTGTGTGTGTGTACAGGTGTGTGTGTGTGTGTGTACAGGTGTGAGTGTACAGGTGTGTGTGTGTGTACAAGTGTGTGTGTACAGGTGTGTGTGTGTGTGTACAGGTGTGTGTGTGTGTGTACAGGTGTGTGTGTGTACAGGTGTGTGTACAGGTGTGTGTGTGTGTGTACAGGTGTGAGTGTGTGTGTACAGGTGTGTGTGTGTGTGTGCACAGGTGTGTGTACAGACTCACCACACAGAGACCCACAGACTCACCACAGACACCCACAGACTCACCACACACACTCACCACATCCACACACTCACCACATCCACTCACCACACTCACTCACCACACTCACTCACCACACACTCACCACACACACTCACTCACCACACCCACACACTCACCACACCCACTCACCACACACTCACCACACACACTCACTCACCACACCCACACACTCACCACACACTCACCACACACACTCACCACACACTCACCACACCCACACACTCACCACACACTCACCACACACTCACCACACACTCACCACACACTCACCACACACTCACCACACACACTCACCACACACACACCACACACACTCACCACACACACTCATCACACACACTCACCACACCACACACTCACCACTCACACTCACCACACACACTCACCACACACACTCACCACACACACTCACCACACACACTCACCACACACTCACCACACACACTCACCACACACACTCACCACACACACTCACCACACACTCACCACACCCACACACACACTCACCACTCACACTCACCACACACACTCACCACACACTCACCACACACTCACCACACCCACACACTCACCACACACACTCACCACACACTCACCACACACACTCACCACACACACTCACCACACACTCACCACACACACTCACCACACACTCACCACACACACTCACCACACACTCACCACACACACTCACTCACCACACCACACACACTCACCACACACACTCACCACACCCACACACTCACCACACACACTCACCACACACACTCACCACACTCACTCACCACACTCACTCACCACTCACACTCACCACACACACTCACCACACACACTCACCACTCACACTCACCACACACTCACCACACACACTCACCACACACACTCACCACACACACTCACCACACACACTCACCACACACTCACTCACCACACACACTCACCACACACACTCACCACACACACACCCACTCACCACACACACTCACCACACACACTCACCACACACACTCACTCACCACACACACTCACCACACCCACACACTCACCACACACACACACCACACACTCACCACACACTCACCACACACACTCACCACACACACTCACCACACACACTCACCACACACTCACTCACACTCACCACACACACTCACCACACACACTCACCACACACACTCACCACACCACACACACACTCACCACACACACTCACCACACACACTCACCACACACTCACCACTCACTCACCACACACTCACCACACACACTCACCACACACACTCACCACACACACTCACCACACACACTCACCACACACACTCACCACACACACCCACACACACTCACCACACACACTCACCACACTCACTCACCACACACACTCACCACACACACTCACCACACACACTCACCACACACACCCACACACACTCACCACACACACTCACCACACACTCACCACACACACTCACCACACACACTCACCACACACACTCACCACTCACACTCACCACACACACTCACCACACACACACACCACACACACACACCACACACACTCACCACTCACACTCACCACACACACTCACCACACCCACACACTCACCACACACTCACCACACACACTCACCACACACTCACCACACACACTCACCACACCCACACCACACCACAGACACTCACCACACACACTCACCACACACACTCACCACACACACTCACCACACCCACACACTCACCACACACTCACCACACCCACACACTCACTCACCACACCCACACACTCACCACACACACTCACCACACACACTCACCACACACTCACCACACACTCACCACACACACTCACCACACACTCACCACACCCATCTAAAACCACCACTCAACCTCTCCCTGCCACCCCCACCGCTGCGGCACAACTCGAACGAATCCCGGGCAGCCCCTTCCAGGCAAGCCCGGGGGGGGCCCCGACCCGACTAGGCCTCGACACGCGTCAGTCACTTCACGGTGCTGGCTATGGAACCGTGGAGATTCTGCGGTGATGGCGGTGATGTTCATGGGGGTCCTGAGCCCCCCCATCAACAACATCTCCCTCTACAGAGATTCATCCGCACTGGGGAGTCGGACCTACCCCCCCCCCCCCACTCATCATCCTGCGGCGCAAACGACCACATCCCGGGCAGCCCCTTCCAGGCAAGCCGGGGGGGGGGCCCGACTCGACTAGGCCTCACCGAGTTCGGGTTAACTTAACGGTGCTGGCTATGGGGACCGTGGAGATTCGGTGATGTTGTTGTTGTTGTTAATGGGGGGTCTACAGCCCCCCCCAACCCATCATCGACATCATCTCCCTCCAGAGATCTCCCCCCGTACTGGAAGTCGAACCTGGAGTGGTTTGCTGATCGGTGGCGGGAGACGGCGTGAGGGTGGTGGTGGTGGAGGGACCGCGGCGAAACGCGTCCAACGTTCTGGGGTGGTGGAGGGACCGTGGCGAAGTGCAGCCAACGTTAGGCGGGGGGGGGGGGTGGTGGAGGGACCGCGGTGAAATGCAGCCAACGTTAAGGTGGTGGTGGAGGGTCCGCGGCGAAACGCGTCCAACGTTATAGGGGGAGGTGGTGGAGAGACCGCGGTGAAGTGCAGCTAACGTTAGGGTGGTGGTGGTGGAGGGTCCGCGGCGAGACGCGTCCGACATTATAGGGGGTGGTGGAGGGACCGCGGCGAAACGCGTCCAATGTTATAGGGGGTAGTAGAGGGATCGCGGCGAAGTGCAGCCAACGTTAGGGTGGTGGAGGGACCGCGGCGAAACGCGTCCAACGTTCTGGGGTGGTGGTGGAGGGAACGCGGTGAAGTGCGTCCAACGTTATAGGAGGTGGTGGTGGAGCGACCGTGGCGAAACGCGTCCAACGTTAGGGGGTGGTGGTGGTGGTGGAGGGTCCGCGGCGAAGTGCAGCAAACGTTAAGGTTGTGGTGGAGGGTCCGCGAAACGCGTCCAACGTTAGGGGATGGTGGTGGTGGAGGGACCGCGGCGAAGTGCAGCCAAAGTTAGGGTGGTGGTGGAGGGACCGCGGCGAAACGCGTCCAACGTTATAGGGGGTGGTGGAGGGACCGCGGCGAAACGCGTCCAACGTTAAGGTGGCGGAGGGACCGCGGTGAAGTGCAGCCAAACGTTAAGGTGGTGTTGGAGGGTCCGCGGCGAAACGCGTCCAACGTTAGGGGATGATGGTGGTGGTGGAGGGTCCGCGGCGAAACGCGTCCAACGTTAGCCGGGGGGGGCGGCCCTTTGCGGAATTGTTTTGATCACTTATCCCAGATTTCCTGATTTTTTTGTTTCACTTATCCGGGAATTTTCTCTCTTAGCGGACCAATCAGAGCGCGCGACGCTGCCACCCAGTAATTATTGTTATTGTTCTGTGTGTCTGTATTGTTCTTCACAATAATTAATTATTGTTAAAGTGAACAAACCAAAAATAAATTAATAATCGTCGCGATCAACTTCGTCACATTGAGTCATTCAAATGTTCTAAATCATTAAGGTAAGATTAACCAATGGGGAGTGGGTTAACTTCTGACCAATCACAACGCGGGGAAGCCCTTCACCCCCCCACCCAACCCCTTACACCGCTAGAAACCAATCAAACAACAAGAAATCATAAATCATCGCGAATGCATCAGACATGATTAATAATCAAAATGTTATTCACTCTCTTCATTTTAAAAAGTAAAATGAACCAATAGGGAGAAAACTAACTGGTAACCAATCACAGCCCCGCGCTAGTCCATCAACCCCTCACTCCTCCCGTGGACCAATCGGAGCGCGCGGTGCTGTCGCCATAGGGGGTGGCGGTCTCCATGGTAACGGCCGCGTGTCTCTGTGTCTCTCTCTGTGTGTCTGTGTGTCTCTGTGTGTGTGTCTGTGTGTGTGTGTGTCTGTGTGTGTCTGTGTGTGTCTGTGTGTGTTTGTGTGTCTGTGTGTGTTTGTGTGTCTCTATGTGTGTCTGTGTGTGTTTGTGTGTCTCTATGTGTGTCTGTGTGTCTCTGTGTGTCTCTGTGTGTGTCTGTGTGTGTCTGTGTGTCTGTGTGTGTGTGTGTCTGTGTGTCTCTGTGTGTGTCTGTGTGTGTCTGTGTGTGTCTGTGTCTCTGTGTGTGTCTGTGTGTGTGTCTGTGTGTGTGTCTGTGTCTCTCTGTGTCTCTGTGTCTCTGTGTGTGTCTGTGTCTCTGTGTGTGTCTGTGTGTGTGTCTGTGTGTGTGTCTGTGTCTCTGTGTGTCTCTGTGTGTCTGTGTCTCTGTGTGTGTCTGTGTCTCTGTGTGTGTCTGTGTCTCTGTGTGTGTCTGTGTGTGTGTCTGTGTGTCTGTGTCTCTGTGTGTCTCTGTGTGTCTGTGTCTCTGTGTCTCTGTGTCTCTGTGTGTGTCTGTGTGTGTCTCTGTGTGTGTCTCTGTGTGTGTCTGTGTGTGTGTGTCTGTCTGTCTCTGTGTGTCTCTGTGTCTCTCTGTGTGTCTCTGTCTGTGTCTGTGTGTCTTTGTCTGCGTCTCTGTGTGTCTAACTAACTCTGTGTGTCTCTCTGTGTCTCTCTCTGTGTGTCTCTCTGTGTGTGTGTCTCTCTGTGACTCTGTGTCTCTCTGTGTGTCTCTGTCTGTGTCTCTCTGTGACTCTGTGTCTCTCTCTGTGTGTGTCTAACTAACTCTGTGTGTCTCTCTGTCTCTGTGTGTGTCTCTCTCTGTGTCTCTGTGTGTCTAACTAACTCTGTGTGTGTCTCTCTGTGTGTGTCTCTCTCTGTGTGTGTCTCTCTCTGTCTCTCTATGTGTGTCTCTCTCTGTGTGTCTCTCTCTGTGTCTCTCTGTCTGTCTGTGTCTCTCTCTCTGTGTCTAACTAACTCTGTGTGTGTTTCTCTGTGTCTCTCTGTGTGTGTCTCTCTCTGTGTGTCTAACTAACTGTGTGTGTGTCTCTCTCTGTCTCTCTGTGTGTCTCTCTGTGTGTGTGTCTCTCTCTGTGTCTCTGTCTCTCTCTGTGTCTCTGTGTGTGTCTCTCTGTGTCTCTGTGTGTCTCTGTGTGTGTGTCTCTGTGTGTCTCTGTGTGTGTCTAACTAACTGTGTGTGTCTCTGTGTCTCTCTGTGTGTGTCTTACTAACTCTGTGTGTGTGTCTCTGTGTCTCTCTGTGTGTGTCTAACTAACTCTGTGTGTGTCTCTGTGTCTCTCTCTGTGTGTCTCTCTGTGTCTCTCTCTGTGTGTGTCTAACTAACTCTGTGTGTCTCTCTGTGTCTCTGTCTGTGTCTCTGTGTGTGTGTCTCTGTGTCTCTCTCTGTGTCTCTCTGTGTGTGTCTCTCTATGTCTCTGTGTGTGTGTCTCTGTGTCTCTCTCTGTGTCTCTCTGTGTGTCTAACTAGCTCTATGTGCGTCTCTGTGTGTGTCTCTCTGTGTGTGTCTCTCTCTGTGTGTCTAACTAACTCGGTGTCTCTCTGTGTGTCTCTCTGTGTGTGTGACTCTGTGTGTCTCTCTGTGTCTCTCTCTGTGTGTGTCTCTCTGTCTCTGTGTGTGTGTCTCTCTGTGTGTGTCTCTGTGTCTCTCTGTGTGTGTCTAACTAACTCTGTGTGTGTCTCTGTCTCTCTGTGTGTGTCTCTCTGTGTGTGTCTAACTAACTCTGTGTGTGTCTCTCTCTGTCTCTCTCTCTGTCTCTCCCTGTGTTTCTCTCTGTGTCTCTCTGTCTCTCTCTGTCTCTCTCTGTGTGTCTCTCTGTGTGTGTCTCTCTGTGTGTCTCTCTGTGTGTCTCTCTGTGGCTCTCTCTGTCTCTCTGTGTGTTTCTCTCTCTGTCTCTCTGTGTGTGTCTCTCTCTGTGTGTGTGTGTCTCTGTGTCTCTCTGTGTGTGTGTAACTAACTCTGTGTGTGTGTCTCTGTGTCTCTCTGTCTCTGTGTCTGTGTGTGTGTGTCTAATTAACTCTGTGTGTGTGTCTAACTAACTCTGTGTGTGTGTCTCTGTGTCTCTCTGTCTCTGTGTCTGTGTGTGTGTGTCTAATTAACTCTGTGTGTGTGTCTAACTAACTCTGTGTGTGTGTCTAACTGTCCCTGTCTAAGTAGAGGTTGCAGTCTTCACGATGAGTCCCAAGCACGTCGACTGGCTCCTGGCATCGGTGAGTCTGTGGGTGGGTGAGTGGGTGGGTGAGTGAGTGAGTGGGTGAGTGGGTGGGTGAGTGAGTGAGTGGGTGGGTGAGTGGGTGGGTGAGTGAGTGGGTGAGTGGGTGGGTGGGTGAGTGGGTGGGTGGGTGAATGGGTGAGTGGGTGAGTGAGTGAGTGGGTGAGTGAGTGGGTGGGTGAGTGGGTGGGTGGGTGAATGGGTGAGTGGGTGAGTGAGTGAGTGGGTGGGTGAGTGGGTGGGTGAGTGAGTGAGTGAGTGGGTGGGTGGGTGGGTGAGTGGGTGAGTGGGTGAGTGAGTGGGTGGGTGGGTGGGTGAGTGGGTGAGTGGGTGGTGAGTGGGTGAGTGAGTGGGTGGTGAGTGGGTGAGTGGGTGGTGAGTGGGTGAGTGAGTGAGTGGGTGGGTGGGTGAGTGGGTGGGTGGGTGGTGAGTGGGTGGGTGAGTGGGTGAGTGGGTGAGTGGGTGGGTGGGTGAGTGGGTGGTGAGTGGGTGGGTGAGTGAGTGAGTGGGTGAGTGGGTGGGTGGGTGAGTGAGTGGGTGGGTGAGTGAGTGAGTGGGTGAGTGGGTGGGTGGGTGGGTGAGTGGGTGAGTGAGTGGGTGGGTGAGTGAGTGGGTGGGTGGGTGAGTGAGTGGGTGGGTGAGTGGGTGGGTGGGTGGGTGAGTGGGTGAGTGAGTGGGTGGGTGGGTGAGTGAGTGGTGAGTGAGTGAGTGGGTGAGTGGGTGGGTGGGTGAGTGAGTGGGTGAGTGAGTGGGTGAGTGAGTGAGTGGGTGAGTGAGTAAGTGAGTGAGTGGGTGAGTGGGTGGGTGAGTGAGTGAGTGGGTGAGTGAGTGTGTAGCTGTGTGTGTAGCTGTGTGTGTGTGTAGCTGTGTGTGTAGCTGTGTGTGTGTAACTGTGTGTGTAGCTGTGTGTGTAGCTGTGTGTGTGTAACTGTGTGTGTAGCTGTGTGTGTAGCTGTGTGTAGCTGTGTGTGTAGCTGTGTGTAGCTGTGTGTGTAGCTGTGTGTGTAGCTGTGTATGTAGCTGTGTGTAGCTGTGTGTGTGTGTAGCTGTGTGTGTAGCTGTGTGTGTGTGTAGCTGTGTGTGTAGCTGTGTGTGTAGCTGTGTGTAGCTGTGTCTGTGTGTGTAGCTGTGTGTGTAGCTGTGTGTGTATGTGTGTAGCTGTGTCTAGCTGTGTGTGTGTGTAGCTGTGTGTAGCTGTTTGTGTAGCTGTGTCTGTGTGTAGCTGTGTGTGTGTAGCTGTGTGTGTAGCTGTGTGTGTGTGTGTGTAGCTGTAGCTGTGTGTGTAGCTGTGTGTAGCTGTGTGTGTGTGTGTAGCTGTGTATGTGTAGCTGTGTGTAGCTGTGTGTGTGTGTGTGTAGCTGTGTGTGTGTAGCTGTGTGTAGCTGTGTGTGTGTGTGTAGCTGTGTGTGTGTGTGTAGCTGTGTGTGTGTAGCTGTGTGTAGCTGTGTGTGTGTGTAGCTGTGTGTGTGTGTGTGTGTAGCTGTGTGTGTGTGTGTAGCTGTGTGTGTAGCTGTGTAGCTGTGTGTGTGTAGCTGTGTAGCTGTGTGTGTGTAGCTGTGTGTAGCTGTGTGTGTAGCTGTGTGTGTGTGTAGCTGTGTGTGTGTGTAGCTGTGTGTGTAGCTGTGTGTAGCTGTGTGTGTGTAGCTGTGTGTAGCTGTGTGTGTAGCTGTGTGTGTGTGTAGCTGTGTGTGTAGCTGTGTGTGTGTGTGTAGCTGTGTGTGTAGCTGTGTGTGTGTGTAGCTGTGTGTGTAGCTGTGTGTGTAGCTGTGTGTGTGTAGCTGTGAGTGTAGCTGTGTGTGTAGCTGTGTGTGTGTGTAGCTGTGTGTAGCTGTGTGTGTGTGTAGCTGTGTGTGTAGCTGTGTGTGTAGCTGTGTGTGTAGCTGTGTGTGTGTGTGTAGCTGTGTGTGTGTAGCTGTGTGTAGCTGTGTGTGTGTGTGTAGCTGTGTGTAGCTGTGTGTGTAGCTGTGTGTGTGTAGCTGTGTGTAGCTGTGTGTGTGTGTAGCTGTGTGTGTGTAGCTGTGTGTGTGTAGCTGTGTGTAGGTGTGTGTGTGTAGCTGTGTGTGTGTAGCTGTGTGTAGCTGTGTGTAAGTGTGTGTGTGTAGCTGTGTGTGTAGCTGTGTGTAGCTGTGTGTAGCTGTGTGTGTGTGTGTAGCTGTGTGTGTGTGTAGCTGTGTGTGTGTGTAGCTGTGTGTGTAGCTGTGTGTGTAGCTGTGTGTGTGTAGCTGTGTGTGTGTGTAGCTGTGTGTAGCTGTGTGCGTGTGTAGCTGTGTGTGTAGCTGTGTGTGTAGCTGTGTGTGTAGCTGTCTCACTGTGTGTGTAGCTGTGTGTAGCTGTGTGTGTGTAGCTGTGTGTGTAGCTGTGTGTAGCTGTAGCTGTATGTGTGTAGCTGTGTGTAGCTGTGTGTGTAGCTGTGTGTGTAGCTGTGTGTGTGTGTAGCTGTGTGTGTGTAGCTGTGTGTGTAGCTGTGTGTGTAGCTGTGTGTGTGTAGCTGTGTGTGGCTGTGTGTGTAGCTGTGTGTAGCTGTGTGTGTAGCTGTGTGTAGCTGTGTGTGTAGCTGTGTGTAGCTGTGTGTGTAGCTATGTGTAGCTGTGTGTGTAGCTGTGTGTGTGTAGCTGTGTGTGTAGCTGTGTGTGTAGCTGTGTGTAGCTGTAGCTGTGTGTGTAGCTGTGTGTAGCTGTGTGTAGCTGTGTGTGTAGCTGTGTGTGTAGCTGTGTGTGTCTCTCTGTGTGTGTAGCTGTGTGTGTCTCTCTGTGTGTGTAGCTGTGTGTGTAGCTGTGTGTGGCTGTGTGTGTAGCTGTGTGTAGCTGTGTGTGTAGCTGTGTGTAGCTGTGTGTGTAGCTGTGTGTAGCTGTGTGTGTAGCTGTGTGTAGCTGTGTGTGTAGCTGTGTGTGTAGCTGTGTGTAGCTGTGTGTGTAGCTGTGTGTGTAACTGTGTGTGTAGCTGTGTGTGTGTGTGTAGCTGTGTGTGTGGCTGTGTGTGTAGCTGTGTGTAGCTGTGTGTGTGTGTAGCTGTGTGTGTAGCTGTGTGTGTAGCTGTGTGTGTGTGTGTAGCTGTGTGTGTGTAGCTGTGTGTAGCTGTGTGTAGCTGTGTGTGTAGCTGTGTGTGTAGCTGTGTGTAGGTGTAGCTGTGTGTAGCTGTAGCTGTGTGTGTGTAGCTGAGTGTGTGTAGCTGTGTGTAGCTGTGTGTGTAGCTGTGTGTGTAGCTCTGTGTGTGTAGCTGTGTGTGTAGCTCTGTGTGTGTAGCTGTGTCACACTCTGTGTGTAGCTGTGTGTGTGTGTGTGTAGCTGTGTGTAGCTGTGTGTGTAGCTGTGTGTAGGTGTAGCTGTGTGTAGCTGTGTGTAGGTGTAGCTGTGTGTAGCTGTGTGTGTGTCAATCACAGTTGCTGTTGGTCACCGTCTGCCTATCGTGGGTGTTTGTGATCTACGCTGGGCAAGTCGCCGCCCGGAAACAGCTACAAAGTTACCTGCAACAACCCTGACGCCTCAACACGAGTTGCCTGCAACTTGAGTTGCCTGCAACTCAAGTTGCCTGCAACAACTCAAACCCTGACGCCTCAACACGAGTCGCCTGCAACTCAAGTTGCCTGCAACCCGAGTCGCCTGCAACTCAAGTCGCCTGCAACTCAAGAACCGGTCTCCAAATTCAGTGTCTCGTCAGCAACAAGTTGAATAAATGTTGGCAACCTCACGGAATCTTGTTTTGATCCACTCATCACTCACCACTCACTCACCCACCTACTCACCCACTCACCCACTCACCACTCACTCACTCACTCACCACTCACTTACTCATCCACTCACTCACTCACCCACTCACTCACCCACTCACCCACTCACTCACTCACTCACCCACTCACTCACCCACTCACTCACCCACTCACTCACCCACTCACTCACCCACTCACCACCCACTCACTCACCCACTCACTCACTCACCCACTCACCCACTCACTCACCCACTCACCACCCACTCACTCACTCACCCACTCACCCACTCACTCACTCACCCACTCACTCACCCACTCACTCACCCACTCACTCACCCACTCACTCACTCACCCACTCACTCACCCACTCACTCACTCACCCACCCACTCACTCACTCACCCACTCACTCACTCACCCACCCACTCACTCACCCACTCACTCACCCACTCACCACCCACTCACTCACTCACCCACCCACCCACCCACTCACTCACTCACCCACTCACTCACCCACTCACTCACCCACTCACTCACTCACCCACTCACTCACTCACCCACTCACTCACCCACTCACTCACTCACCCACCCACTCACTCACTCACCCACCCACTCACTCACCCACCCACTCACTCACCCACTCACTCACCCACTGTCTGCGTTAGGGGGGTGGGGGGCCCCCCGGGCCCCCCTCTCTTCCCCCAGACAGTTGAACTAATGCTACCGGTGTGAACGAGGTTTTAAAGCCGAGTGTACCAGCCCGCATTAGATGAAAGCGTCTCCTTTCAAACGCCCACCCCTCCCCCCCCCGTGCTATCGGCATGCCGGGAAAGAATTCCTCGTTTTAAAATGAAATTGACGGTCATTATTATTTTTTTTGGGGGGGGGGGGGTAGGTCCGGCCCAGCCCCCCCTCTTAACGATTTTAAAGATTCATTGCTCCTAAATGAGCAGATTTCAGCCAATAATAATTTCAACAATTCCGTTTTCACTTGCCGAGGGTTTTTAATTTGTTCCAATTGTCAGTCATTTTTTGGGGGGGGTCCGGCCCAGCCCTCCTTAACGATACATTGCCCCTAAATGAGCAGATTTCAGTCAATAATAATTTCAACCATTCCATTTTCACTTGCGGAGCATTTGATTTGTTCCATTGTCGGTCATTATTTTTTGGGGGGGGTCCGGCCCAGCCCCCCTTAACGATACATTGCTCCAAAATGAGCAGATTTCAGTCAATAATAATTTCAACCATTCCATTTACACTTGCCGATGGTTTAATTTTCTCCAATTGTCGGTCATTATTTTTTTGGTGGGGGGGGGTCCGACCCAGCCCCCCCTTACCGATTTTAACGATTCATTGCCCCTAAATGAGCAGATTTCAGTCGATAAAGATTTCAACCATTCCATTTTCACTTGCGGAGCATTTGATTTGTTCCATTGTCGGTCATTATTTTTTTTGGGGGGGTCCGGCCCAGCCCCCCTTAACGATTCATTGCCCCAAAATGAGCAGATTTCAGCCAATAAAGATTTCAACAATTCCGTTTTCACTTGCCGATGGTTTTTAATTTGTTCCAATTGTCAGTCAATTTTTTTGGGGGGGGGGGGGGGTCCGGGCCAGCCCCCCTTAACGATACATTGCTCCAAAATGAGCAGATTTCACTCAATAATAATTTCAACCATTCCGTTTTCACTTGCCGATGGTTTTTAATTTGTTCCATTGTCGGTCATTATTTTTTTTGGGGGTGTCCGGGCCAGCCCCCCTTAACGATACATTGCCCCTAAATGAGCAGATTTCACTCAATAATTTCAACCATTCCGTTTCCACTTGCCGATGGTTTAATTTGCTCCAATTGTCAGTCATTATTTTTTTGGGGGGGGGTCCGGCCCAGCCCCCCTTAACGATACATTGCCCCTAAATGAGCAGATTTCAGCCGATAAAGATTTCAACAATCCCATTTTCACTTGCCGATGGTTTTTAATTTGTTCCGAAGAGCCCCCCCTTCCCGCCTCAGCGATTTTGAGGGGCAAAAAAAAATAATAATTGGGGGTGTGGGAAGACGCTCTCAAAATTTTGCGCGCGCAATTTTACTTAAGAACGTCGTCAAATTGCCCGCGCACAAATTTTTTATTTTAATTTTTATTTTTCCAAAAAGTTCCCACCAGCGCCCACACCCCCTGCCAAGGAGGAGGAGAGGAGAGGGAGGAGGGGGGGCCCTGGGGGGGGGGGGCCCCGGGAGGGGGGGGGGCCCGGGGGGGGGGGGGCCCCGGGGGGGGGGGGGGCCCGGGAGGGGGGGGGCCCGGGAGTGGGGGGCCCCTGTTTTTACTTAAACTTAAGCGCGCGATGCAATTGAGAGGGGGGTGGTGGTGGTGATGGTGGTGGTGGTGATGGTGGTTGTGATGATGGTGATGGTGGTGGTGGTGATGGTGGTGGTGGTGATGGTGTTGGTGATGGTGGTGATGGTGGTGGTGGTGATGATGGTGGTGGTGATGGTGGTGGGTGAGTGGGGAGGGAGGGCTGAGTGGGGACAACTTTTCGAATCGCACAAATGAAATATCTCGCGTTGCCTTCGGCTGTTGCTTCGCGTTTGCGTTGTGGCTGGGCGAAAATCCGTTCGCTGAAAAATAAAGGGGGGATTTTTTGCGTTGTGTTCCGGATCATCAAAGTGCGTCTCTGCTCCAATCCCTGGCGAGGATTTCAAGGAGAGGAAGGGCGCGCGATTCACTTTCACGAACGTCCAACGCTCGTCCAATGCCCTATAGCATCAGTGCACAAGAGTAAGAATTGTGCCATCGAATTGAACCAGAAGCAATATTGAAACGCGTTCTCCTGCAGTGATAACACATTCTCCTGCAGTGATAACACATTCTCCTGTAGTGATAACACATTCTCCTGTAGTGATAACACTTTCTCCTGTAGTGATAACACTTTCTCCTGTAGTGATAACACTTTCTCCTGTAGTGATAACACATTCTCCTGTAGTGATAACACATTCTCCTGTAGTGATAACACATTCTCCTGTAGTGAAAACACATTCTCCTGTAGTGATAACACATTCTCCTGTAGTGATAACACATTCTCCTGTAGTGATAACACATTCTCCTGTAGTGATAACACATTCTCCTGTAGTGATAAGACATTCTCCTGTAGTGATAACACATTCTCCTGTAGTGATAACACATTCTCCTGTAGTGATAACACATTCTCCTGTAGTGATAACACATTCTCCTGTAGTGATAACACATTCTCCTGTAGTGATAACACATTCTCCTGTAGTGATAACACATTCTCCTGCAGTGATAACACATTCTCCTGTAGTGATAACACATTCTCCTGTAGTGATAACACATTCTCCTGCAGTGATAACACATTCTCCTGCAGTGATAACACATTCTCCTGTAGTGATAACACATTCTCCTGTAGTGATAACACATTCTCCTGCAGTGATAACACATTCTCCTGTAGTGATAACACATTCACCTGCAGTGATAACACATTCTACTGCAGTGATAACACATTCTCCTGCAGTGATAACACTTTCTCCTGCAGTGATAACACATTCTCCTGTAGTGATAACACATTTTCCTGTAGTGATAACACATTCTCCTGCAGTGATAACACATTCTCCTGCAGTGATAACACATTCTCCTGTAGTGATAACACATTCTCCTGTAGGGATAACACATTCTCCTGCAGTGATAACACATTCTCCTGTAGTGATAACACATTCTCCTGTAGTGATAACACTTTCTCCTGTAGTGATAACACATTCTCCTGTAGTGATAACACATTCTCCTGTAGTGATAACACTTTGTCCTGTAGTGATAACACATTCTCCTGTAGTGATAACACTTTCTCCTGTAGTGATAACACTTTCTCCTGCAGTGATAACACATTCTCCTGTAGTGATAACACATTCTCCTGCAGTGATAACACATTCTCCTGTAGTGATAACACATTCTCCTGTAGTGATAACACATTCTCCTGTAATGATAACACATTCTCCTGTAGTGATAACACATTCTCCTGTAGTGATACCACTTTCTCCTGTAGTGATAACACTTTCTCCTGTAGTGATAACACATTCTCCTGTAGTGATAACACATTCTCCTGTAGTGATAACACATTCTCCTGTAGTGATAACACATTCTCCTGTAGTGATAACACATTCTCCTGTAGTGATAACACATTCTCCTGTAGTGATAACACATTCTCCTGTAGTGATAACACATTCTCCTGTAGTGATAACACATTCTCCTGTAGTGATAACACATTCTCCTGTAGTGATAACACATTCTCCTGTAGTGATAAACACATTCTCCTGTAGTGATAACACATTCTCCTGTAGTGATAACACATTCTCCTGTAGTGATAACACATTCTCCTGTAGTGATAACACTTTCTCCTGCAGTGATAACACATTCTCCTGTAGTGATAACACATTCTCCTGTAGTGATAACACATTCTCCTGTAGTGATAACACATTCTCCTGCAGTGATAACACATTCTCCTGCAGTGATAACACATTCTCCTGTAGTGATAACACATTCTCCTGTAGTGATAACACATTCTCCTGTAGTGATAACACATTCTCCTGCAGTGATAACACATTCTCCTGCAGTGATAACACATTCTCCTGTAGTGATAACACATTCTCCTGTAGTGATAACACATTCTCCTGTAGTGATAACACATTCTCCTGTAGTGATAACACTTTCTCCTGTAGTGATAACACATTCTCCTGTAGTGATAACACTTTCTTCTGTAGTGATAACACATTCTCCTGTAGTGATAACACATTCTCCTGTAGTGATAACACATTCTCCTGTAGTGATAACACTTTCTCCTGCAGTGATAACACATTCTCCTGTAGTGATAACACATTCTCCTGTAGTGATAACACATTCTCCTGTAGTGATAACACATTCTCCCGTAGTGATAACACATTCTCCTGTAGTGATAACACATTCTCCTGTAGTGATAACACAT